TACCTCGTGCCTGGCAGAAGAATCCGAGAAAACGTAAGCTACTGAGACAGCCGTGTATTTCGAGAAACTTTTCTGAGAAACTTTTGCACCAAATTGGCACCTATTTCTTTGATTGTTTCGATATGTTTTTTATTGCATTCAGATCGACAAACAAGTACTCTCAGTGGACGACAGACCACGATGTTATCATGTGCAGGGAAGTGCTCGTGAACATCATAAGGAAAATCAAGGTTTTAGAAGAATGAAAGTCGTAAAGAAGAACGAATTCTTCGTCATCAATGAAACCATCGTCGTAGCTTATTATAAGCGAATAGCGCCATTGCCAAACAAAATTTATAATTACTTAAGATGAGATGCCGTCGTCTTCCCGCAAGATCGTCCGCTCAACCTTCAAATTTTCCCTCCGAAAACCAAACCCTCGGTCCAGTCTTTTTCGGATGTAAAGCGTCGTCGTCGTCGTTTCTTAAGTTCCCTAATTTTGCCGGCCAACTTTTCTTTCATATTTCACTTGCCAGTTGCTTGTGGAGGCTTACACCTTTTCCTTTTGAATTATAGTGTGTATTTTGACATCCAACCATACGACAGTTCACCTCATTTCAACTATGAGGAGTGTTAGGAATTGTTTTCACAAAGGTCAAACTGGTCAATAAGGGCGAATCGCCGAACAAAGTTTGACTATTGTTACGTCACAACTGACGTAATATCCAAGATGGCGTTTTTCTAACCACGAAAGTTGTGAAAATGGGCAACTTCAAAGCGCTCTTGTCGCTGATACGAAGAAAACTGGACGAAATGGCAGTTATTTTCGAACTTATGAGGAAAAAAGTCTTCTAATTGAGATAAACTTTTTCTAGACCGTACTTTCCCTTTAAAGTCTGGTACTCATTAATTTTGCGTTTGGTTTGTCGCTAATTAAATAGGCAATATATACGCAATACGTTGGCAAATAACAAACTGGAAAACTCAAGATATACATAAAATGTACAAATTACAGACTTTTTCCGCCTGTTGAAGTTTTTATCTCATAAATCTGCTGTCCTTGTCAAAATTTGGTTCTTGTGACGTCACAGTGTGTAACTGGTGGTCATTTAAGTGTCACATTTTATGTAAATCTTCTGACAACAGCCCAGTCGAAAGTAAGAAACTGTCGTTGGAATTAGTTTTCGTTTCTTTTTTTTTCGGTACAAAACGATTCGCTAACTTAACAGATGATCTGTTTACAGATCCTCTTTTTATCAAATCTCTTACACTACAGAAAATTTCGCGACCTTGCAAAGACAGCCCCCATGCATCTGAAATACGATCATGGTTTGCTTATCTGGGTCCAAGATTCGTTCGCAAAATGTTGGTCGCTCTTCCGTTACACGGAGGTTATAAACTCCGCTTCAGTAGGACTTTTAGCAATTAAAGGATTCACTACCTGAATGGCTTCAACTTTCAAATTAGTTCGCATAACTTGCAGTACGGCTTACATAACTGAAGTTTTCCACTGTCTCCCCTCTAGCACTGAATATTCTTCGCAGAACTATAAAAACAGCTCGTCTGATGTTCGTCATCTTCCAGCAGTAAACAATGGGATTTAGGAAAGAACTTACAAATGCCAAAGTCCAAGTGAAAACTGCCACACCCTTCATGGCAGTAATAGGTCCATAGAAAATCAAGGCTACGAATAAACAGTTCTGCGGTAAATAACAAACCAGAAATACAAGATACACATAAAATGCACTGATAGAAGACTTTCGAAGGCTGTTAACACCAATCGACTGGCCATTTGGTGCAACTTGTTGAATTTGCAAAGCTTGGATTTGGTTTGAGTGGCGTCGTACTGCCCGATAAATTTTATAATGACAAATTGTTGCAGCCCCAAGACAGGTAAACTGAGTAACAGCAAGCAGCGGTAAAGTAACATTTGATGGACTCCAAAAAGCCAACAGTGGTAACAAAATACTAAAAACCCATATCAAAATGACTACAATAACAACTCGCCGCTTGTGAGTTACAAGTTCCTGATATCTGAGGTGAAGATGAACAGCTAGGAATCTGTCCACAGTTATAGCGGTGACACAAAAAAACGATGAAGCAGTGAAACTAATCAAGATCATTGTAAAGGCAGAGTATGTTGCGCAGTTTGGAGTTTGATGCTGTAACCACATGACCAAGAAAGCGATGAGTAATGGCTGAAGCACTAAACCAACACTGAGATCAGAAACAGCGAGACTTAGCAGCAATGTCTTCAATGGCTTTGGCAGAGTAGAAGTTTTCCTCATCGCATGGATCGTCAAAATGTTCATCATAATGGATGTCCAACACCAAGATCAGGACGAAGTTTTCCTCATCGCATGGATCGTCAAAATGTTCATCATAATGGATGTCCAACACCAAGATCAGGACGAAGTTTTCCTCATCGCATGGATCGTCAAAATGTTCATCATAATGGATGTCCAACACCAAGATCAGGACGAAGTTTTCCTCATCGCATGGATAGTTACGCTGTTCATCATAACAGTGGCAATGGAAAAGAAAATATTAAAAATGCAATGAACGATGTACGACCAGAAGAGATCATCAACTTCAGAACTTGAAGGCTGAGAGTATTGGAGTAATGTGCACAACCTACGATTTGTCATGGTCTCGCTTTCTTCAATACCGGGATGAAAACTACAACCTAAACACACGGCGTTTTCCCTTTGTACACAAAAACTCTCCCCGAATATCACCTTTCAACGTACTAAGCAGGCGTGCTTTTGTTTCTTTAGTTCCCAGAAAACGGTGTTTTTTTTTTTTGTTTTTTATGGAAACGAGTCAATGAGTGAGTAAAAACGTTAACTCAGACCAGCGTTGGTTGAGTTCAGTTCCCACTCAGATTGTGCTTACATATAATATTAGTTAATCCAGCCAAATCTGAAACGTCACCAATTCTGTTGATTATTATTATAATTTTACAAAAGCAAACAAGCACAGAATTGAAGAAAATAATTCATCAAAATGTCTCCATTCAGCCAATGCCTGAAGGCCTCAGAACGTAAGTCGATATACAGGTCAGGGCTCTCGCACGTGTGTTACTGACAAGTCATACCACTGTAATAACACGTATCCTCGACATACAACGGGTCTTAACTCTAACAAAATACCTGCTGATGAATTAAAATTTTATTGAGCCTTTTACTGTTCGAAAAACAGCCTGATGTGAAATAGTAAAGTTAGAGTTTCAACTGATAGGCTGTCAAATATTGATATTCGCTGCGCTAACGGAAAGGAAAATTTGATCAAGAAGGATAACAGTGGCATACTCTCAGAAAGCACGTCCAAGACCTTGGCATGAACAATCTAAACTTTCCATTGTTTTGTTTGAAGTTGGTTTTTTAATGTAATTAATCTGTTTCTCGGGTCCAAAACCCTCGCACTCAAAATTTAATAACGTCGCTAGTTGCAGAAACAATGATTTAGCTTTTTGCCACTGCTGTTGTTTTTATCGTTTACATATCTAAAAAATTTAAGGTCAACGCACATTTATGGCTCGTGACTCAAAGGTAACTCTTGACGGCTATAGAATGACTTTAAACATTTTTTGTACTGCACTAACACCTACTGACACTCGGCTATTCCTCGTGCAGTTTATTGTTTTCTAATTTCTTATTCTTCCTCCGCGTACGTTTCTCAGGTTCGCCTTGAATTCATTCATATCAGTTTAATCAGTTTGTGATTCTTGTTTAAATAACACATTTGTTTTTGTTTACGGATTAAAAACAGCGGTAGCACGTATGGTCATAGTTAGTAACTAAAACATGGAAACAACTAATTTCATCGACATCTAATTATACTTCGTGCAGGTACAGCAGAAAATCAAGTTGATAAAATTTTCATCTGTGTCCTCTGCGATGAAATTTAAATTGAGTCGTTCACTGAACAACATCCATATGAATTCTTGGAGGATCTCTTCTCAAATCGCCTAATCTATAAAAGAGCCTCTATTGATAATGACTCCTGGTAACACTGAACTGAACAGGAACCTTATTCATCGACCATGTGGGAACTAAATTTTACTGACATAAGTCACAAGCAGAAAAATCTGCGTGACTAATAGTTCGAAATGTGACAGCTGGACGTGGCCTGGGTCGGGTGTGACGTAACGACACATTTACATATACTTACAAGATGAAAGTGTTTCTCGGAAACGTGAAATTTGCGGCGAATTTTAACCTTTAAAATCCTTAAAAATTTCGCGATGGGAACTACAACTTCAAGTAGCCGTGTAGAAGAAACGGTTTCGACGCATTATGATTTTGCTACTGTGTTGGAAGAGCAAGTAAAGGGGGAGGAATCTTTCCGACTATATCGAGTCACATCAAGTCGTTTTGAAGCCGTACTTTACAACCCTAAACACTCACCACACTGTTTCAGTCTCTATAGAATGCCGGAAGAAACGGAGGCTAAACTAAAGTTCAAGTAAGGAGTTCCTCATTATCTTATCCTGGTTTAATTTTACGGCGGAAAGCTCTACGATCATACGTGATAATTTTCGATGTTATTGGACAGATGTTGTTAAACAAACGCTAACCCAAGTTTAGCGAGGTGTTATTAATTATCAAATTCGAAGTTATAACATGTGAAGATTAGGCTTTTCTGTCAACAAAGCTTATGTATTTATTTATTTACTTTTCTTAGTGATTTAAGACAGACTTCACCATATGTTTTACTAGACAATTTAGTTGATTTTATGCGTCAAGTAACAGTGATTAAATCCACACGTGAAATACAAGGAATAAGGTTTTAAAAGGCTTGAGGGAACAATACAAGGCCAATCAGCAGCTTTGCTGTGGACTATGAAATCTGTCATTTCATTTTTATTCGTGAATTTAAATCGATTAAATTAACCCGTGAAATGCAAGGAATACTGTGGTCAAAGCTGTTAGGCTAGAGGTAATAATTAAACACTGGCTTGTTTATTTGATTTGGAATAAAAAATCTTTTATTAATGTAGAAGGCAGATATTACAAGCAGTCAGATGCAGAACTATTTTGTTCTGTCACGCAGTTAACTGCTATTTCATTCAGAAATCTCACTAGTCAAAACAGATTTTAGGAGTCAATTCCCTCCTATAATTTTGGATCCTATTAAAGTGCACCTAAACCCAAAATTTTTTTTTCGCTTAACGAAATAGGCTTATTTTTTGGAGTATTTCTGTGCAAAAATKTTTTAATTTGCTCAAATCTTTAATTTTCTATGCCCAGTCAAAATACGGAAAATCGGCCGCCATCTTGCCCCACGACCGAGTTTAAAGAAGAATGGCTCTAGCGGGTAATGTGATGTCAAATCGAGAACACGAAAGTCTGCATCTCACACATTTTCACTTGTTTGGAAAGGTTGTCGTAGATATTGTCCGAAATATGCCAACTAGGTGTGTTGTATGAAGAATGTATGAAGCGCGATACCCTCTTGCAAATTTCGCACGTTGCTACATCCTTCTACAACACACTTAGTCGGCATATTTTCGGACAATTATCGACTACAACCTTCCCAAACAAGTGAAAATGTGTGAAATGCAGACTTTCGTGTTCTCGATTTGACGTCACATTACCCACTAGAGCCATTCCTCTTTAAACTCGGTCGTGGGGCAAGATGGCGGCCGATTTTCCGTATTTTGACTGGGCATAGAAAATTGAAGATTTCAGCAAATAAAAAAATTTTTGCGCAGAAATACTCAAAATAATAAGCTTACTTCATTAAGCGAAAAAAATTTTTTGGGTGTAGGTGCACTTTAAACATTTACCATAAAGATGCCATGACCTGCATGAAAATTGTGCAAAAAAAAAAAATCTGAAACAGAGTCTCCTACTAGGTTATGAGCTGTGATGTTCTCGATATTTGCTATCTTTTAGAAATTTTTGTGAAAGACTAGCACCATTTTATCAAAGTTCCCCCAAATGCTACAATTCAGCAGTTCTCCAAGACCTCATTTCCTGTTTGGAACAGCATCCTGATTGGTCATTAGCTCATGTTGCTACTCACATGGGTCTGTCAGAATGTATGAAGCACATCAATGTTGCAGATTCTGTGGATAGTGCCTGTAAAGATAAACAAAGGACTCCCCTGCACATGGCAACTAGGGTATGCCAGTGGAATTACTAAAAACAATATATTCAGTGATTAGGGTTTGGTCAACAATAAGCAGAGATGTTCAATAAACTTTATTTTTTATTGTTTTTGTATTCTCATACAAACCTCTTAACTTGTCATTAAAGTGCATATAACTTTAAAAGGTGGATATCACATCCAGTGGTTACTTTAAGTTACAACCAGAGTCTCCAATATTGAAACAGACTCTGCTTGTACAGCTTTAGATACTCTTGCTGCTCCCATTTCTCTTTATTCCCAACAAAATGAATCCCCCTCCTGTGCTGAAGAAATTAAAAACACAGCTGATTATTGAACTGTAATTTTTATACAGAGTGGAAAGCTGGATTTTGTGCAAACTTTAATGGAGCATGACCCCAGACTCCTTGTGAAAGACAAATCTGGCAACACACCACTTCACTATGCCGCTGAACGGTATCCTGATATTCTGGACTCTTTTCTTAAAAAGGCCAAAGAGCTAGGTACATACCATTAGCAGTAATGTGAATAGTAAAAAGAAATTTTACATTTTTTGTGATTTCAGTTGCCCATAACTGTTTTCTTTTATTACCTTTATTAGCGATGGTTGCTAAGGGCAATAAGCAATTATTGGATGAGGTTGAGAATGATATCATGGATTATGAATGCCAAGGTCTGAGTTATCTGCCAAAGTGAAAGGTTGAGGCAGATAACACACACATGGGTTTGGATAATTCATGATTTTACGCAAAAACTGAATTCAGTCATTGTTTTTTTTATACATTTCTTGAACAATTGGTAAAAAAAAAGACAAAAATCTGTCTGAGTTTGCAAAAGTTTGAGAACAGTACATGGACATTGGGCTTGAAAACTAGGCAGACTTTGAACTTGTCATGACAACCCAATATCTGCTGTATATACTGGGTTATCATGTCAACTTCACTCACCATTGTAGATTGACTGTATGCTCCTGGCCATTCTGAGTTTTCATAGTTAGTCTTATGTATAATTAACAATTATTCCATGAGCGCACGTTTGATATGAGATGATAGATAGCCAATGAGGCGCGTAGCACCAAGTTGGCTATAATCATCTCATATCCAACGAGCGTTAGTGGAATAATTGTTTTATTAAAAACACCCCCAAGAAATTATTATTTTATAAGAAGAAACTGGATTTTTTAGCTCCCTTTTGATTTTAAGCTGACACGTACACTTACCATATTTGTAGATTATGGTATATTGGCTCATATACCATGATGGCTAAGCCAATAAAAATTCTTGAATTGCATTATCCAATGATCCAGTTTTTAATAATGAGTATTACCTGTAGGCCCCTCAATCAAAGTTGGTTTATAATTTTTTATCATTGAATGGATACTTTTTTAATTCATTTATTAGTCTGAATAGTGTCAGTACTGTTGCAGGGTGAAGAGCTGTAGCACTTATGCTCATCTGTAATTTCTTAAGTTTGTTGTTTAACTAGTGGGCTAAGGTCAACTTTAAAGTCATTATTTCTGTCCTTGCAATAACACCTTAATTGCCAATTGTTTAGGTAATCAGGTTGCAGAAGTTGTGAACACAACCAACTCTAGCAACCAATCACCTCTGGACATTGCCTGTCGCTATTCCCAGGGTGACAGTGTACAAATGTTACTAGAAGCTGGTGCTGACCCTAGCAAATCACACAATGGCTGTCATCCTATTCACACTGCTCTTAATGCCAAAGGTGATTCTTGCGTTGCCACACTATTGGAGTTTCACCCTGAACAAGTCAATGTCAGAGATAGCAAATATGGAGGTACACCGTTACACTGGGCTAAGACCAAAGAGGTAAAACATCAACTAGCCTTGTAAAGCTCTGCAAATGTTCCTGAAACCAAATGCTTGCATCTCCTAGCTAAGCTTTTTAAACAGATGATTAATTTCTTCATAATACTCTTGTATCAGTTAAAAAATTTTTTCCAAAAATATTTCTTCTTTTTTTATTAAATTTCCTCTTCAGCAAATAAGGTTATGTGAATAAGGGGCTTGTTTAGAACACTGGAAATGATGCATGCAATACCAGATTTTTCAACAGCCTGATAATTTGTCCTTGAATTTTGGGATCACTTGCAGTGCCAGGATCATCTGTGGAGCTGTGTAGGATTTCCTAAAACGTGCATTTTGTATATTATTTATCCATTATATATATTTAACTTCTGTATATGAGGAAAACCCTGACCCTGTACACCCCAAATAATCACACTTAAATAGAATAAATGTATGAAAAGAAAATTTGCCCTGAGCGGGATTTGAACCCACATCCCTCCTGTTACTAGTCAGGTGTGATGACCACTGCACTATCAGGATGACCATGCTGGCAACATGGCAATCGAAGATGTGATTTATGTGATCGGAGACGTAGTCTCCCGGGAAATTTAACTTTCAAGGTGACAGGGTAGGGGAAGCCTATAACCCCATATGAAACCCCATTTCAAACATTTATTCTATTTAAGTATGATTATCTGGGGTGTACAGGGTCAGGGTTTCCCTCGTATACAGAATTTGTTTAATTGAAATTAGCCTGTATCCGTAATTGGATCCTCCTTTGTCATCCGCGAAGTTGACTTCGGTCGTGTATCTTTAATAGATCCTTAGTTGGGTTTCATATGGGGTTATAGGCTTCCCCTACCCTGTCACCTGGAAAGTTAAATTCAATCTCCTCCACAAACATATACTTCGCTCTACATTAATGTATTGAGCACTGTTTTACAAATATCTACGTTCTACACTTAGT